AATTTTTGCTAGGAAAAATCAAAATCTGAGCTGTACAAATCATATGATTCAAACCTTGATTTTCTCATACATTCATGCCATATGAAATAAATACTGACATATCACAAAATAATTTTAGTAAGCTTAATGCGGTACCAGATTTTTTTAATACTATACTCACCTCAGCACGCCATTTCTTGCTTTTTTTTTTATGCGAAAGTTTTAATGAATTCTATATTCACTATTACTTTAATGCTAATTATAAAAGACAATACTAATGCTATAAATTCATGTATATGATGATTAAAATGTATATATAATATCTTTTGAACGATAGAAACTTTAATGAGGCGTAAGAAAATAAGTTGAGCCATTTTTTTCTTGAAAAGTGGATTAGTTCCTGGTTACTTCATAAGTTTGTAAAGCATATAAGAATCTCTCCGCAAATAATTAATTAGCATAGCTCGTTCTTTGTCAAAAATAATCCATCTTTGGATAAAGCAAATGACTTTATTTACTTACGTTCTTATGAATAACTGATTTTTTTTTAATACATACAGTGTTAAAACCTGCAAATGAATAAATTTTGCATATAGTTAAGTTGATTTCTACTTTATAATTTGCCTTTTTTTTTTTATATATTACAATAACTGGAACTATTTAAGCAACCGGTTGTTAACTAGTTGAATTAGTAAATTAAGTTAGTGTGAAGAGGAATGATGCCATATTAGGGTATGGGGTGCTTTTCAAAAATCAGCACAATAGAAACAGTACCTTGGTATGAGGAGGAATGATACTATATTAGGTATATGAAATTTAAACGGTACCTTGGTAGGGTTGTTTATAGAAGACACCAAAGGTAAAATTAATGTTATTAGAGCTTTCTACCGGCATAGAATTTTCTGTGAATAAAAATTAACATAATATATAATAAATCAAATAAGAACAGCTTTTTTTATATTAAGATGTCTCTTAGCAGCGGTAAATATCCTGAAGACAACCCGTTTTCACTTAAACAGAATAATGCTACTTATACGTATACTATCATTAGTGAAGGGGTTTATCCATCAAAAAATAAAACATGTTATACCTCAGCTCACTCTCGCAATGGAACCTCGTACAGAATTCCTGATAATTATGTAGTACAAACGAGGTGGGGCCGAGGAAGGTCACAGCATGTAATAGATTGTGAAATTAAATATGAAATAGATAGGCCAGTTTATATAATTAGGTTTGAAAAAGATGAACAAAGTTTTGTAATAACGTCGAAAGAATCCGTGACTAAAGCTGCCAATGAATACTTAAAAGTTAATTTAATTCTTTTTAGCAATTAATTTCTATAATTTTTAATAAAAAATTAAAATTTTTTTTTTTTA